TATCAGCGAATACACCTGTACCAGGGAATTTGTGAGGCATATTAGTTAGAAATAGGTCAAGATGGAGGATTTTTCAGGATGGTTTTTGTTTAATCTAGTGGGAGAGTCGATCAATTGGGTAAGATTGAGAGACAGGCAACATTCCTTGAATTTATAACAGAAGGGGGTTGACTTACACCAATCAATGTTGAGGTCTCTAGCCAAAAGGATCTCTTTGAATTTTAAATTACCAAGGAATTCCATCAGTGCAGACAGAGCCTCAGGTGATGCTGAGGGGGGGCGGTAGCAGCAGACTACAGTTAAGATCTGACATCCATTCAAGGTGATGTTTACAGATAAGGCTTCAAACTGGTTTGGAATTGTTTTAGAAGACACAAGATTAGCAATCAAAGAATCTCTGATGTAAACACCGACCCCCCCCCCCCTTTTTTTTTGACGATCACAGCGGTAGATGTTAAATCCATTGATTGCCAGGTCATTATTGAGTACAGATTTGTTGAGCCAGGTTTCAGAGAAGAAGATAACATCTGTCCCAGAAGAACTGACCAGAATTTTCAAAGCATCAAGTTTTTTCAAAAGGCTACGAGCGTTTACATGCAGAAAATGAAGCCCAGACACGTTCTTAAAGTCATTTGGTGTGCTGTAATTAGTGGGGGGCCCAGGGTTGGGTTGAATCCCTGAGAGCAGTAACAACATTATTATCAGACATTTTCTTGAGTTTTTTGTGACTGGTGTAATTACAGGAGTTAACAGTGTGACAATTAGCCCCCATAATCGAACCATGAGAAACATTAATGAAGATGTGATCATTCAGAACCCAAAAACAGTGAAAGTTGCAGTGATGGACAGATTCAGGTGTATTAACAAGATTCAGTGACTCCAGATACTCTGAGAACTGAAAATAGTGACAGTAATATGAATGATACAGAAAAGTTTCAGACCATAAAACATCACAATTCAAATGGGCAAACAAACCCGACGAGGTGGGCCAACTGCAGTTTGAGTTGGGCTGAGGGGGGCTCCGACCCCCCCAGTGAAGATGGATGGATGCTCCCATGGGAAACAGAAGCTGGGTCCAGAATCAACAGGCCAAAACAGAAACATAATTTGCAGCAAATAGCAAGAGCGAGCTGCCGGAAAATCCTTAATTATTGCTGAAATTTCCAGTTTCATCATTCTCAATATGAATACGTTTTTCTTCATTCATACACACATTTTTTGGGCTTCTTTTGAACAGCGATAATAAGGAAGTGTATGTTCTGATGCATGCTCAATAATCCAGGTAGAAAAATCTAAAAAAGTTCAATCTGGTCCTCTGGACATTCAAAAAACACAAAAAACAAAGCAAAAAATGTAGATACGTTTCATCTTTCATCCGAAAGACTTCCTCAGTCTGAGGTGCTGTATTCAGCTCAATCTCTTAAATAGCACCGTCTCAGAGTGGATCAACCAGTTTGCTGCTGACAACCAAAACCAACTGCTCACATGGTCAAGAAGGACCATCAGCCTAACAATGGATCATTAGCACACTGATGGCTGTTTACTATTCATAGGGGGCTGAGTGATACTAGCAATAACAGCAGTGTAAGAGGGGGAAGTTGAACCCGGAGGCCTCCACCCCTGTTTAATGATGGACAATTTCTTTTCACAAAGATGGCCTCCTTTACTCCTCTCTCAAACCATTGTTCCTCTCTGTCCAGGATGTGAACATCTTCATCCTTGAAAGAGTGACCGCTGGCCTGGAGATGAGTGTAGACCGCAGAGTCCTGGTCTGATGATGTTGATCTTCTGTGCTGGGCCATCCTTTTGGCCAGTGGCTGTTTAGTTTCCCCGATGTAAGACTGATCACAGCCCTCCTGACACTGAACAGCATACACAATATTACTCTGTTTGTGCCGGGGGACTGGATCTTTGGGATGAACCAGTCTTTGCCGTAATATAGTTTGTGGTTTAAAAGCCACTGGGACGTTATGTTTAGAAAATAAACGTCTCAGTTTCTCTGATACTCCTGCAACATACAGAATGACCACTGGTCTGGGTTCTTCCTTTTCACCTGATGGCTGACTGGAGTCCTGTTTGGGTTTCTTCTCTGCTTTCAGGAAGGCCCAGTTAGGATATCCACATTGCTCTAGAGCCTATCTTGTGGTTATGGGAGTCAAACTGCAAATACTGGTCTGTGTGGGTGGGTTTGTGGTACACCTCAGTTTGCAAATGTCCTCTATCAGAGACTGAGACCTCACAGTCCAAGAAAGTCAACCTGCCATTTTTTACATCTTCTCGTGTGAACTTGATGTATTTATCCACAGAGTTGATGTGGTCAGTAAAATGTTGGACTTCCTGAGATTTAATTTTAACCCAAGTGTCATCATCATACCTGAACCAATGACTTGGTGGTGTCCCTGAAAAGGACGTCAAGGCTCTCTTTTCTACCTCCTCCATCTACAGGTTGGCAACAATAGGAGAAACTGGAGACCCCATAGCACACCCATGTTTCTGCCTATAATATTGCTCCCCATATGTGAAGTAGGTTGACTGTAGGCACAGTTTCAAGAGTTGACACAGTTGTTCTGTGGAAAGTGTGGTCCTGCTGCTCAGAGTGGTGTCTGATTTTAATCTTAAACTGACCACCTCTACTGCATCATCAACAGGAATGCACGTAAAGAGTGATGTGACATCAAAAGAGACCATTGTTTCATCAGTCTCCATGCTGACATCCCTCACCTTATCCACAAAGTCCATGGTGTTCTGTATGTGGTGTTCTGAGCTGCCAACTAAGGAAGGGTATATCTCTAAACAGCATGATGCTGTTAGTTAAATATGTAGAAAATGTGTTTAAACCACCATCTCATAAACAAACAGGGAACCCCCTCCCCCAAAATCTAAGCAACTACTATTTAAAACTTTTTATGAAGTGTACTTTTAATTAAAGTATTTCAATAAACATAACTCAATGTAAAATTTCAGGCCCCTCAGCAGTGTCTCAGGCTCTTTGGGCAAGGCTTTACTGAGCTTTGCTAAACCAGCCGTAGCTAAGCAGGTAAGCTAGAGTTACCATGAGCTTGTGTTTGGTTGAAGATCAGCTCAGGCAACATTCACAAGTCCAAGCAAACTTTATCTGCACCACATACAAGAACATTTTTTTAATGAAAATACACACAATGCCTCCACACATTGTTTTTTAAACTCAGCCCCAGTGGACTAATTTTATTTTTCCATCTCCTTACCTTAAACTTACCTCTTTATGTTAGATATTTTGTCCCTCATGGAAACAGAACTGACATTTCAGTTCAATTCAATTCAGTTTATTTCTATAGTACCAATTCAAAACAAATTTGTCTCAGGGCACTTTACAGAAACATTCATATACAGTACATAGAAAAGCCATTTAGTAAAGTTATCTGTCTAAGGAAGACAGCAGATGCATTGAATGATCACTTTGTTACAGTTTCCCATCCTAAGCAAGCACTTTTGACCCAAAACATTTGGGTCAAATAATACAACAAGAACATCCTATGTTGTTGACACAAGGGCACACTCACTTTGAAAGTTTATTATTTTGAATAAAGTTTGATTTGACTCATTATGTATAATCACTGTGTTAATGTCTATAAACTCTCTGTCTTCATTAAAGTTAGAATGTTTTGAAATAATTTCTTCATCCCTGTGTTGAAAAATTTATATGAAAAACACAAGAATACATTATGTCTCACTGGGATTTTGTGTGTTCTACGCATAGGTGTTGCAACAATTATATGTGAAGGGGACATGTTCCCCCCACATTAAAAAAAATTAGTCATTTGAAACACCCTGCACTCCCCACCCCCCACACACACATACCAAGAAATATTAGTTTACCCAGGGCTTTCTACTTTGTGTGACTTTGCGATTGAATCCATTCCACTTGAATAATAAGAGAATTCTCAAACCACTAAAGGTCCACTCCAGGTTTTCCTGGTTACCTACACCAATTCCATGCAGTGTTTAATATAATAATAATAATAATAATAATAATAATAATAATAATAATAATGTGTATGTATTGTCATCATTGTATGTTCCCATACAATGGTGAAATTGGCTTTCTGCATCATTAATCCATCCACCAGCAGGTGGAGCAGTGGGCAGCTATTGAAAGTGCCTGGGGAGCAACTGGGTTGAGGTGTCCTGCTCAGAGACACCACGAGATGTGCAATGACTGGGGATCGAACCCAGGACCTTTGGGTCCCGAGTCGAATACCCTGCCTCTATAACATCTCCTTGGTTATCTGCCTTGGCAGATATGGGAGAGGAGAGGGAGAAACCTCTGTTTTGAACACTATGTTTGTTCTGGCAGTTTTTGATGTGGGTGGGGGGTCTAGGATATGTGAGAGAGATGGAGCGTGCTCTATTCGTACAAGGAGAGCTGTGTGGTCAGACTTCTTGTGCCATGTTCTCTAAAATAGTTATTGAATCAAGCAGTGTTTCTCCTACCATTATACAAGCAGGGTGCCCCACCCTGTCAACAGAACTGAGTGCCCTCCCTACTGAACACCCCCACCCCATGCACGCAACTCCAACACTGTCGGTACAAACAGCATGCAACACAGAACACAGTCGTGTCTCAATCACCACTGTCTCCCCCCGACAAAAATCACAAAAGGGATGGGTGCCCTGCCAAGGCAAGTAAAGTAGGGGAGACACTGATCAAGTGTTTACTCATGTAGGTAAACATAGATGTTTAGCAACCCATTAAAATACAGCAGAATGCAGGAAATGGCATTTACTTTATTCAAAAATTTAAGGGGGAGGACCCCCCCCCAGACCCCCCCCCCCACACACACACACACCAGTGTGTCCCCTCTCACATTACAAATGCTTCTGACGTCACTGGTTCTACCATATTAAGCTTTGTTTCATTTCATCCTTCAAGGTCTAGACTTTTATTATGATTTCTAAGCAATATCTTTTATATTAAGAATTGTTTTCTTGATCTTTTTAAAAACACTTTTTTGATTTTACAGAGACATGCGCTGTAAACAACGGGGGCTGCGACAGGACGTGTAAAGACACTGCCACGGGGGTGCGCTGCAGCTGCCCTGTGGGATTCACACTGCAGCCTGATGGCAAAACCTGCAAAGGTTAGTAAAGACGTGAACGTGCTTGTGGATACATCTGGTCCAGAAGCTGTATCTATGGCCAGTCGGGCCAGATTGCTACAACTGGTATTTGACTGATGTAGAGCCAAGGCCTGAGCCAACCATCCATTGAAACTCTAACTATTAATGGACTTCTGTCACAGCCAGTGGAACTGTTATTGCCTGTTGTTTTTGTTGTCTTTGCTTTGGAGCAATTCTCTTTCCCCGACAGCTCAACAGTAAAGCCAGTAATGGTGGTCTGTGGAAAAGATGCCATACAGCATGAACAAACATCTTAAATAGGTCACTAAAGCATTCGGGCTTTACTCTAAACAAACACCTGAAGGATTCTTATGCATTCAGAGCCTCAAACATGAATCTGGAGACAGCAGGGCTTTTTGTGTAAAATGCAGATCTAACAAAAATATATAATTCAGTGTATGTATTCACCATAAACAAAGTGCTGTTATGAATATTGATGGGGGTCAAAGGTGGAGGCTCCTCATAAAGTTCACTGCTTTTATTCTACAGTTTTGAGAGTGTTGAGCTCAAGATTGCTTTGACTGCACCAGCAGGCCAGCTGACTCCTAACCATCCTGGATGAGGCTGATGATGTTTTTTTTTTTAATCTGTAAACTTGAGTTGTTTGATAGAAGAATAATTCCTGGCTCATTTGTGTAAAGGGAGAATGTAGAGGGGACAGTAAACTAACTTGGAGGGATCCAGTGTTGATATTTCGCTTGCTTAATGCTATGTTTTCTAGCCTAATTTGCTGCCTCTTGTATGTCAGAGTGTTTGTGATCCTCCATCACTTTCAGTTTGCAATCGAATGGGAAGAACACTATTTTATGTTTGAAGTTTTAAAGACTGAACTATGTTACAAGCATAATTCTAGACCAGGTTTGTAAATGTGCCTTTGTCCAGAAGGCCTATGCACAGGGCATTGGCTGCATTATAGCTTTTTATAGACTGTCCTTAAAAGACAACACCCCCCCCCCCCCACACACACACACACACACACACACACTTGTGTCAAAGATATGCTCTTTAAGACAGATAACTCAAGATGCTATAGCAACAAAGCATGTTGGTCACATGACAGTAATATTGGCGTTTGCTTATCTGAACCTGAGAGCCTTGTGCAGCACAAGTATTCTTTATATATTTTGTAATCCTGTTTGTGGGCATGTGTGTGAGTAGGTGTGTGTATTTACAAGATGACTGTTAGGTGGTGTGAGAATGTGGCATGTAGGTGTGTGAAGCCTTGAGACTGAAGTTGTATCAGGGCTGGCAGGCAGGCGATGTGTCGGCAAACTTTGAAATGTTTGAACAGTGAGGCCCACAGCTTTGCTCTCTCCCCATATCTCCAACTCCTGACATCACCACAGTTTCAAAAACAGTGCCATCTAGCGGCAGATGCAGTAATTACAATCAACAAAAGTAATAAATGTTACAAGCACAAAACAGATGCATTACAATTATGCAGGCATTAGATGAATACACTGCATAAGAAAATGTCTCTAAACAAGAAACAATCTAACTCTGCCAACTCTTCCGAACCACTCCTTAGCTATGAAAGGAGGGGGAGATGATCGTGGATTTCAGATGGAGTAACCCCCACCCCCCACCCCCCCAAACATGGGAGGATCTGCAGTGGCAGTGGTCTCCAGCTACGACGGCTCAGTGGTTAGCACTGTTGCCTCACAGCAAGAAGGTCCTGGGTTCAAGCCCCAGTTGGACCTGGGATCTTTCTGTGATGAGTTTGCATGCTCCTCGTGTGCATGTGTGGGTTTTCTCCAGGTACTCCGGTTTCCTCCCACAGATCAAAAACATGCATGTTAGACTGCCTTCAGGCCCAGGCCTCTTTTGGAAAAAAACGATCTGTAATCTCAATGGGATTTGCCTGATTAAATGTTAATAAATACAAGTACTTGGGTGTACACCTGAATGACAATCTCAGGTGGAGCAACAACACCACCAGCCTGATCAAGAAAGCTCATCAGAGACTCTACTTCCTCAGGTGGCTGAGGCGGGCTAGACTGGGAAGTTCAGTCCTCACCTCCTTCTACAGGTGTGCAGTGGAGAGCATCCTGTGCTCCAGCATCAACGTGTGGCATGGAAGCTGCACAGCTGCAGAAAGAAAAGCTTCGCAGAGAGTGGTGAAGGCTGCACAGAAGTCTGTTGGAGTCAGTCTCCCCACCATCACAGACATCTACACCTCCAGATGCAGGAAGAGAGCCACCTGCATCATGAAGGACCTCACTCACACAGCACACACACATTTTGCCCCGCTCCCCTCAGGAAGGAGGTTGAGGAGCATTAAGTGTAGAACCACTAGACTGAGGAACAACTTCTACCATGAAGCTGTTAGACTCATGAATCTCTAACCAGAATAATCACTGCGAAAAAAATCACATCATGTTGCTGCTGATCTGTTTCAATGTTGATGAGTTCATACGTGCTCATGTGCTTACACAGACTTATGTTCATGTTTGTGCTGATGTTCAATGTAATGTTTTTATGCTATTAGTGCTTAGTGTATATTTAGTTGATGTTTTTCTTAGTTCATATCTTAGATGTTATTACTGTTTTTCTTTTACATTTTATTGTTGGATGTAACTGGGACCCTGTGTACATAATTTTGCTCCACCACATGTACCACATGAGGTGCGAATGACAATAAAGAATCTCTGACTCTGACTCTGATGATCACTCGAGGCCGAGGTCCGGGCAATGGCCTTCTGCGAGTCAGCAGCCTGTATGTCAGACAGAGGCTTGTCCACCCTAAGGAGAAAACACCCATACACAAACAGAGTGGCGTAGTGTGTGCGGTCCAGTGCAGCGAGGACTGTCCAGACCTCTACATTGGAGAAACTAAACAGCCTCTTCACAAATGCATGGCTCAACACGGGAGAGCCAGCTCTTCAGGACAAGATTCAGCTGTTCACCTCCACCTCACAGATAAAGGACACTCTTTTGAGGACCAAAATGTGCACATTTTGGACCGAGAACACAGATGGTTTGAGAGTGGGGTGAAGGAAGCAATTTATGTAAAAAGAGAAAAGCCGTCTTTTAACAGAGGAGGAGGCCTCAGATTTCCACTTTCAAAAACATATAATGCAACTTTAAGACCGATTCCCAGCCAGTTTTCACACCTGATGGGAACAGAGGGGCCTCGTCTGTGAATTAGAGTGACAAAGACTTTAAGAAACCTTGATATTGATCTTCTTCCTGTAGTCCACCTGGAGCTCTTTCCTTTTTCCAACCTTGAGTTGCAGGTGGTTCTGTCCACCACACCTCTGTATTCTGCTTCCTGGTCACCAGTGATGCAACCCACAATTGCAGAGTCATCTGAGAACTTCTGTAGATGGCAGGATTGTGAGTTGTACCTGAAGTCCGAGATGTAGAGCGTGAACAGAAACAGCGAGAGGACCGTCCACTAAGGAGCCCCTGTGCTGCTCAGTATGATGTCCGAGGTGATGTTCTGCCACCTCATATACTGTGACTGACCTGTGAGGTGGTCTCCGAACCAGGTGACCAGTAATGACTCTTATTGTGCTGCCTGTCCTATCCAGGTGCATGTAGGCTCTGTGCAGCAGGTAGATGATGGCATCATCAACACTGCGTGGCTGGTATGCAATCTGTAGGGGATCCAGATATGGTTCCACCACTGATCTGACGTTCTTCAGGACCAGCCTCTCCAGAGACTTCATGGCATTTGATGTCAAGGCCATAGGTCTGTAGTCACTTTGTGAGTTTGGTTGGTTATTTTTCAGCAATGGGACCAGGCATGTTGTTTTCCACAGAGCAGGGACCACACTCATGCTCAGGCTCTCTTAAGGTTTATATCAGCTATATCAATCTGAAACTCTAAAGCGATTGGCAATGGCTTTGTTATCCCCCGTCGTGGGGTGAATCTGTCAGTCTATCTGTTCATGCATGTTCTGAGCATGTTAACTTGAAAAATAAATGAGCTACTGACTTCCTTAATTGTATGTGGCTGTATCTAGGCATAAGAAAGGAACCTTTTGAAAATTGGGTTTGCACATCAAAATCCAAAATGGCTGCTGTCATAAATGTATATAAGTTTATTTTTGTGAGCTCAATATCTTAAAAAGTAAGTAACATGCTAATTTCCATTTTGGTATGTGGCAGCATCTTGGTTTTAGGAAAGTCACTATCAAAGATTTGGGTTGCCACGTCAAAATCTGAGGTGGCTGCAGTCATTTATGAGCCATAAACCCTATATGATGTATAGCTTCAAAAATAGGCAATATTCTGACTTCCATTTCATTGTGTGGCTTCATCTTTGTGTTATGAAGCTCACTATCAAAAATTGGGTTCAAAGTCAAAATCCAAGATGGCTACCACCATATATTTTTATATTTCGGCCACCTGATCATTTGAAGAAGCTATACTTTATAGATTTTATATTGGTTAAAAGGATAGATTCCTCACATGATTGGGGTGGTTGAAGATTAATCAATGGTTGCCATGTCTACCAGTGGCCACCGCCTGACTCCACCATTGTGCCTGGTGGTGGATAAAATTGCTTCATCCACTCGCCAGGATCCGTAACTATTCACTGCCTTGGACAAGCAGAAAAAAAACTTTCATCGCTTCTTATACACGGTGTAACGCCTACCCACTTGAATATCTTACACCAAAAATGTTAAATTCCCGTCCCGAAAAACTTGAAAAACTCAACTCAAAAACTACAATCTTTCACTAATCAAATTCCTCAGCAGCAGGGGACATTGGCATATGGCTTGTTTCTTTGGCAAATTAAAGAGAGTCTATTGGACATCCCTATCTTGTTGAGCAACAGACAGATAAATAATCAGTTTGTATAATTTGTTTTGAAAACACACTGTGCTTTATGACTGGTGTCATAGCTGATAAGGTTTAAGTCTCAACATCTACTAAACAGAAAATCACTTCAAAAATGACTGGATTGTACCTTATATATGGATTGTACATTATATACTCTCCAAACCTTTGGC